ACCGAGCGATTCTGTGATTCTGTGAAATGGGGACTGGGGTAAACGCCATCATCTTTTATTTCTTCCTTCTCCCTCACACTCCCCAACTAATTTTTTTAATTTAACATCAAAAGGAACAAGCTGTGGTGGGCAACCTGTTGCATTATTTCTTTCAAATTCATTTCACTTGAAGTGCTGGAGTCCAATAATAGCAGCACTTTTGTAAAGAAGCACTTCTCCGTGCTTATTTTAGTATCAGTTTGTCTGTGAAGGCTAGGTCTGAACAGAGCAGGGACCTTTCCATAGCAACTACTCACTTAGTCTTCAGTAGTGACCTAAATACTTTTCTCCACTAATTAATAGCTTAGGACAGAGGTCTCTGTCATTCTAGAGATAGATAGAATATAAAACTGTGCTTATAGACAAATCAGTTGATAAAGCAAAAATCTAATGTAGAACTTGAATACTTATTCTTCGTGGTTTAGAAACCATCTTGTTTTTCCTAGTAGAAGGTGTTAATATATCTGATTGCTGCATTCCAAACCTTGCTTCCCGAATGTGTAACTACAAATTGGTTCTTGATTGCTATTGGACATAATTATCACATTTTGACATGATGATCTCTGCATTTACCTATGCATTCATGTACAGGATTTGACATCTTGTTTTGTTACTAGATCTTTCTTGTGTCGGTCACATGCCTTACTTACGAGAACTGAATGCTTCCAACAACGATTTGACTGCGTATTTTGCTTTTAAACCACCTAAAAGTCTCAGGGTAAGTTGCAAAATATGTGTTTTAAAGGTTTAAATTCAAACCAGTTTCCTAAGTCTGATTTAGACATTGTGTTTGGACATGTGCAAAAGTGAATTTTTATGCCTTCCTTATTCTTCTTTCTTACCTCATTTGACATTTTAATACCTTTTCCCAAATATCTGGGTATTTTACACTACAAGTTTCAGCCTTTTATTTTCTTTCACACTCTAAACTATGGCATGCCACAGGAAGGTGTATTTTACAGCTAATTACAGCTGGGGTAAGTGTAAGTTTTGAAATACAACTTTTCTTTGTCTTTTCTGTTAGTTTTTTTTAATATCTATGCATAATTACAGGACTATTAGTGATTAAGTTGTTGGAAGAAAGTATAGCTTTAGAAGTTCCCAAAAAGTGAATTCTACATGTCATTTAAAAAAAGCCTTCCTGTTTATGTCCCGATATTAATGATATTCTTATTTCTTCCCACACCCTTCATCACAAGTTGAATGTAACAGCCATTTACTTTCACAACACAGCTGTAAATGATGAAGAAAAAAAGTCACTTTCTGTCTCCTTTTCTTTTCTTTAGGAAGTAGATTTTTCATACAATCAAATACCTAAAATGCAAGATCTGTCAGCATACCAGTCACTTACTAAACTCTTGCTGGATTGTATCCTTTATGGCAACCTGAATGGGAGAAAATATTGCTTGTTTGCTTTCTGAGCAGCTTCAAAAAGATCCCCGTTTCCTTTCTATTTTTCCTTCATGTCAGCTTTGTCTTTAGAAGCAAGATTAAACACTGTCATTTTGGTGGTGAAACTGATCTTAAGTTACTTAAGCATGCCTGGTGTTAAAGGTGTTTCTGTGTACATGTATGGTATTAGCCTGCTAGAGAAACACTAAAAAAATCCTCCGCTTTGCATCATGTATAACTGAAAAAGTGACTTGTCACATTGTCTTTGCATGGCAGAGGTAATAAATAATCCCGGGTTTTTTATACAAGAAAGGTTAATAGGAAATCAGCTTGGAATGCTAAACTCTCTTAAATGAAAAAGCTGTGTGTTGTTTAATCTGACACATAGCTCATTATGCAGGGACTGTAGAGGCTCTGTGGAGAACAAAGCTGTTTAATGAAAATGAAGAAAATCTTTGACAGAGAAGTTCCTGGAGGATGCTGAGGGAAGTAAGTACACTGAGTAATGCTATTTTGCCACACACCTCCCACACTCGCGCTGTGGTGCCCAGTTTGTGGGATTAGAAACACTGCCCTGGCAAAAATCAGATAAGCGTGAACCTGCAGATTAAGTTTCTTCATTGCTTACTTCTCCAAGGCTGTCTATAATCCTTTTGGCCTCCCTAAAGATTCTTCTGTGCTTTACTGAAAGATCTTTTGGAATTTCATCTTGACGTGCTGCCTTACTTGCGATTGCTTCCCAAAGGTTGACAAACCTTTCCTCTTTGCCTCCTAAATTGCATCTTGATTTTCTGCTCCCTGAAAAGGAGAAGACAGCAGGCTGTTGCAGGTTTTTCTGTCTCTTGTCCTCAAAGTGGCCCATTACCAAATGATATTAATACAACGCCTTTTTCATGTAGAAGCAGATAAAGCATTTGCAGGGCATCCAGGTTACATTATTCACACTTTTTACAAGGCGTGCAGGTGATATGATTCCTGTCAGAAAATGGCATTGAGATGCTATCCCTTTGCAATTCTAATTTTCCATAGCAGAGCAAAAAACCATATGGCAAAATGAAGCGGAAAAAAAGATCAGAGCTTTGTACTGTGGATGTGAATCAGTGTTTTTTTCATTTGGTTTCAATGCAGCAGCATGCTGTCTTCAATTTCTTTATTTCTCAATGAAGATGCCATTGAAATGAGGAGAAAAACTGTTTCATACATACAGTTGCAATAGGACCCTCTGAAATAGAGGAAAAATGAGTGCAGAATTTAGAAGTGCAGAATTTAAATAGCAAAGTGGCACTGTTCCTAACCCGTGTTGAGCACTCCTCGCCGAAGACATGGCAGACAAAACAAGCTGTTCTTTGTAATTGTAAATGAAAACACTATATTAAATATCATGCAGTAGCATGAATGTTTGGCATGCATTTGTCATTGACAATAACTAAGTGTTTCTTACCATATTTAAGTGGATTACGATACAGACAGTAAGGTCACTGTAACTTTTCTCTGACAGGTACACACACAAGCACACCTGACAGGTTTATAAATGAGTTTTCAAGGAGGAAACTGCCCAAACTGGACAGGGAGACAGCTTGGGCAATAATATCTGACAAGGCATTATAGTGAGCCATTAAAGGACTAAAACTGATTGTATTAGTTTTTACTGCTGAGCAATTTGCTGCTACATATTGATGCTTTTGGCTTAAGCAGTACCTTTTCCTCGCCAAAGCTTTTCCTCCTCAGTTGAAAGAGGATCCGTCCCATGCTGTATGCAAATCAATGGATATCAGTTAAGTATCAGTGCCTGTGGATGGTTTTGGTTTCTTTTCTTAAATGACATGGTGTGACCTAGTGTGAGGTCCTATTAAAAACTAAATCTGTGCTTACCAGCTCATTTCTCCTCCTCTCCTTCCCTGTCTTAGCCTGTGAGTGTAGAACTTAGGCAGTGTAAAATTAAGTCCCCATGTAGGAACAGTTAGGTCACAGCTATTAAAAAGTATTCTACTGGCCCTGGCTAAGCTTACATTTCGTTTGGTTACAATATCATTCAGACTGAGAGAAAAACATCCTGATAATTTGTCCACTTTCTGCTGGTAAGGCTAGAAACATAAAAACTCACCCCTCTTTTCAGACAGAGTTCATTCTCTCAAGTAAATGAAAAATGTTTTCATCTGTGATTGCCTAAAGGCATTTCTCTGTGTCCTGTAAGTTCTGGCTATTTTTTTCAGTTATATTTCTTGGGTTTTTTTAATGTAACTGGTTCCAGCTTAGACACTTACAATACGAGTGTAATCCTTCTTTTCTAACTTCACCAAACAGTTAGATGCCCAGATGAGAGTTTCCTGATATCAGTACAGTGGAGAAACAGAAAGTCAGGTACCTCTGCAGTTCATCCCATTGTAAAGAGCAACCAGAGATGGTTTGTTGCCAAAAGAAAAATGCTTTATTTAAGGAATCTGTGTAGTTATGTTAATGCTGAAATTTGCTGAAAGGAATCCTAACTACTTTTACTAGAGCTTTTGAGTTTAATGTTAATTGAAAATACACTTTCCCCTTTCAGTACAGATAGCCAGGTCAGAACAAATATAATTTAGAGTGAGATAGCCCCATATAGTACTATCATCTGTTATCACTTGGATAATTTGTGTATGGTGCTTGGAGGTCAAAGTTGGTTTAGAGCCATGTTAAGTACTCAGTAAAAGTATAAAGATTGCACCTTCCTGTGGTCACTAACCCACGTGCCTGTGTTCTACAGCTGAATACCACAAAATTCAGCTCCATTGGCTAATTTAGCTACTAATTATTGCTAAGGTTTTGTGTTCGGTTATTTTCCTGAAATGTGAAAACCTCTGTATAGTTAACAACATAGAGGAGATAAGAGGACTGGAGAAGTGTCACAGTCTGACTCATCTTAGTTTGTCACACAACAGGCTCATCGCGATCAGTGGCCTTGAGAATTTACCTATCAGGATACTCAATCTGGTAAGAAAGAAGTAATTCTACTTGTTTTCCTGTCTCTCTTTTATCAATATATTAATGCCTTAAGAAATGTGAAAGTAGGTTTTGTTGTTGCTTAGATGATGTTATATATCATGCAAGTCCCACAATACAAATAACTGAGGTTTTTTTAGAGGTCCATTTCACAGAATCACAGAATCACAGAATCGCTCGGTTGGAAAAAACCTCTGAGATCATCACGTCCAACCGTTCCTGTCTACCCACTAAACCATATCCCTAAGTACCTCATCTACCCGCTCTTTAAATACATCCAGGGATGGTGACTCCACCACCTCCCTGGGCAGCCTGTGCCAGCTTCTGACGACCCTCTCAGGAAAGAACTTCCTCCTTATCTCTAACCTGAACCTCCCTTGGCACAGCTTGGTGCTGTTTCCCCTTGTTCTATCCCCCATCAGCTGGGAGAAGAAACCAGCCCCCACCTCTCTACAAGCTCCCTTGAGGCAGTTGTAGGTGGTGATGAGGTCTCCCCTCAGCCTTCTCTTCTCCAGGCTAAACAAGCCCAGTTCCCTCAGCCGCTCCTCATCAGGCTTGTTCTCCAGAGCCCTCCCCATCCTTGTGGCTCTTCTCTGAACACGCTCCAGAATCTCAACATCCTTCTTCTAGTGAGGGGCCCAGAACTGAACACAGCACTCGAGGTGTGGCCTCACCAGTGCCAAGTACAGGAGGATAATCATTATTTCCTCATAAAGTTGTGTTCATGATAGCAGTGAGCCAGGACAGGAGAGGGAAAAGTGAGGACTGAGAATCCTGCATTCATTTGAGAAAACAAGTCAAGTTTAATATGCAAATCTGATGTGTTATTAGAGGATCTTTAATTTTAAAGGATTTTCTAATGAGTATGAAAGCTTTATATTGCCAGCTTTGCACCAAGAAATCTAGGGTATATTTATTTAAATACAACATTTCTAGGTTGTATTTCTAGACACTTCATTGGGATTTATCTTATCTGACTTCAGATTTCTGCAGTGTGGACAACTGCAGGTCACTTAGTTGTTCTCTGCTGCCTCAGAAGTCAAAAAATACAACAGGCCACTTCATAGTAGGTTTTACTTTGTCATAATACATTTAAAAGTATTTAATGGGATTCTATGAAGGAGTACCAAAAACCTATACATAGAAATATGCTCATATTTGCTACATTCATTTTAAGCACCCACATAAATATTTTAGGTAAAGCGAATGAATCCCTTATCAAGAACAGAAATATTCTTTTCCAATCCTTTTAAAATTTTAAAGATTTTTCTTCTGTTCTGTAGTAACTGATTTAGGGAAGAGTAACCAAGGACTGTACCCATCAAGGCCTGATTGGCCCTTGTGCTTATTACTGCTTCAATATTCAGGAAAGGTATTCACATTTAAAAGTGGACAGTAGTATGTTTTGAATAATATATTAAAATAGTCCTCAGTACCATATTTTTAATATAATATTTCATATGTCTAATGCCTTCAATACCTTCCAGTTATGCCCTTGGTGGCAATAAAACTGAATTTTGCCTCATTTTTAGTGGGTATGATTAACTCAGATTGGCAAAATCACGTCTAAAAGTTCTGAAATGAACTATAGGAGTATGGCAATCGAAGCTGACAGGAAGATCTTTTCTCTAAATGCTTTTCTCAAGGAGAAGTGCAATAAGTCACTCAACTGTTGTGTGCACTGATTTCCTCATCTGTTAAAAGGCCTAATAATAATTCTGTTAGTAATGGTTATCTGCTCTGTAAAATGTTTTGGAGGTTGTGTTAACAGCTAAGCCTTATTAACATGAACACGTTCTTCAGTTTTGGTTCTTACATGCTGATATGATTATTTATACAACTGCTTGTCTTTTTTAATTAGCAAAGTAGATAGTCATGTGGAAATTATGTAAATAGACAGATTTTAGCATAGCATTTTTCTTTGACTAATTAGAATAAAATGCAGTTCTCTTTTCATGGGAGCACTCATGCCCTGTCTTCCCATTGATTCAGCTTTCTTTTCCATTTTCCCTTGAGCTTTTTAGGTTGAAAGAGTTGTAGGGTCTGAAGTTTGGAAGAGAGGCTTCAAAAACTGTAAATACTGCCTAGCTACACCAAAAAGCCTTTATTCGGCTTATGTTTGCAAAAAATAATAAAAAGTGCAGCTCTAATGAACTGGACTCTCAGGAATTTTATGCTTTGCATAAAAAAAGGATCTCTACATAAGTCCCTTTTGTTCACATCATTTTACGTGCGCCTCTTGCATAGCAGTTTGTAACTAAAGCTCTAAGCTGTATCCTATTAAACAGAGGCCTAGCAAAGAACAGGAAGAGAAGAGAGAGCCTCCATGCTATTAATAACCTAATTAAACATTTAAAAGTCAGGAAAAATGTCAAGGACAGACAACTGGATTAACATTAGAGTCAGCTGGCTTATTTATTTCAATAGTTCCTAAATATTTATTAATAGAATATGAGGCTTCTAAGCTTTCGGCACAAGGTGATGCTGATGGAAAAACGTAACTTGCAAGGTTATGCAGAAAGAGTCATGTTGAGAGGCCATCTGGGCACGTGTGGCCACTGGGAACAAAGATGAATACAGAACCGAGCATGTTCCACCTATTTGGAGTTCATAGCAGAAACGAGAAGATGATTTGTGAGGCCCTGAGAAATGAAGCCATCTGGTGCCCAGCGATAAATATAGGTCTCCTCTCTCGTACCTTGTTTGGAAGAAATGTAAAACAATGTTTGAGTCCTCAAAAGATTGGCTCATTTGGAGCGTGTTCATTGGCTCATTGGAGCATGTTCAGAGAAGAGCCACGAGGATGGTGAGGGCTCTGGAGAACAAGCCTGATGAGGAGCGGCTGAGGGAACTGGGCTTGTTTAGCCTGGAGAAGAGAAGGCTGAGGGGAGACCTCATCACCACCTCCAACTGCCTCAAGGGAGGTTGTGGAGAGGTGGGTGCTGGTCTCTTCTCCCAGGTGATGGGGGATAGAACAAGGGGAAACGGCACCAAGCTGTGCCAAGGGAGGTTCAGGTTAGAGATAAGGAGGAAGTTCTTTCCTGAGAGGGTCGTCAGAAGCTGGCACAGGCTGCCCAGGGAGGTGGTGGAGTCACCATCCCTGGATGTGTTTAAAGAGCGGGTAGATGAGGTACTTAGGGATATGGTTTAGTGGGTAGACAGGAATGGTTGGACGTGATGATCTCAGAGGTCTTTTCCAACCGAGCGATTCTGTGATTCTGTGATTTCTTGTGTTAAGAGTCTGGATGAAATTACGGTAAGGTGGGTTTGGGAGTTTTTAAACATTTCTGTGCATACTCTCACTGACAGTAAATAAAGTCTGCCTTCACTTCGCATGCATTAAGATGAATTTGTGTATCCTAGAGATATTTTTATAAACTGCCTGCAGTCCAAAGCAGAAAATATTAAGGCAGAACAATACAGTACAGTCATTATTTATTCTCTAATCATAAGTGTAAAAATAACCATGATTACAGAGGGAAATTCTATGTATTTATGTATATATATTCTATACTTTTATGTGCATATCTATTTCCTAAATTTTGAGTTGCATAGTGACAAGATTATCCTTTAGCCACTATCAGCTTTAAAAGAATGCTAGAGCTCTTTTTCTTGCTGTTGTGTCTGGCTGCTATTCAAGGTGAGTCGAAGATAAGTTAATCAGAAGATAGTTGATTCTTTTTTCCTTGAGCAGTGTGGAAAGCTGCAATATGTCATCTCAAGATGAAGATGGGGCTAATGCATAAAAGGCCTATTTGTAATAGGATTCTCAATCATCAAGTGAAGTTTGTTCTTCCTCGGGAATGTTGTTTTCTGCCTCTAGAACTTTAGCAACAGTTTATAAGCTTTCATTTCTTCTTAGAGCTCTAACCTGATTGAGAAGACAACTGGATTGGAGAGCTTGAAACGTCTACAGAAGCTGGACCTATCTAGCAATAAAATCACTCATCTAGAAGGCCTGAAGGAACATGATCTACTAGAGACGATCAACCTAGAGACTAATCAGGTAGCGTGCTTAATATTGATCTCAGCTTTTTCTATGAATGCATAATTTATTTTTTTTCCCCAAGATTCAGTCCCTTTGAGGCTTAATCAAAAAATCTTACAACACTGCAAGAAATGAATATTAGAAAAGATGACATTTTTTCCTTTGGTATTCCACTCCAGTACTGTTTCATATGTTGATTGATAGCTTACTCCTCAGGCCTTATTTAATATCTCTAGATGGGTTTATCTTTATGTAGGTAACGCTTCTGCAGTATTTAATGCTCATGTACACAAAGAACTAACGGTGCTCCCTTGAGTGGATAAGATAGGGATGACTATGCAGCTTTTTCAACTTGATTATTCTTGAGGATCTTTACTTACATCACAGCTTTTCTACTGCCAGGCCTCAGGAGGGTTTGCTAATATCTCTCAGCCCAATTTTATGACCGCGGATTCTTCTGAGCTCTCAGCTGGAAACTTCCTGTAAGGCAGAACTGCTTGTACTCTATTATCAAGTGGCTTTTGTTATGCAGCAGAATTTTCACTGGAAGTACAATGGTACAATCCAACTCACTTGTATTTGGATTTTGAAATCCAATCCCTATATACGTAATACTTTTGATAGTGACCTTCCAGGGTCTTAACTGAAAAGACCGTCAATTCATGAATCATTTTGATATCAAAGAGAGATCCACATGTGAAAAAAAAAAACCTGAGAAAATAAGAAATAACAATATAAACCAGGAACTGATAATTTTCTGTCATTTTATCCCACTTGCAAGATACATTTACAGGATTTAATTCAAGACACTATGAATTCTTTTTTTCGAACTGTGTTCAGGTTGACATTTAAAGGCACATCAATAGCACAAGACAGGAAGCTAACTAATAGTATGGTTGCTATTAGCATTAATAATGCCACTTCCATTGCCTCATATAGTTTCCACTGTTCTTTACAGCATTCAAAAGCTATTAATTTTACCTCATCAAAATTAGCTTCTTTTAATGATGTTATTGAAACTGTTTAATGAGTCACCATTTTTTTGAACATTTCCTTCTGAAGAATAATTTAAAGAGTATTTTAATTAATTAACACAGAAAGATCTGAGTTACTTCAGCTCACTACCACTCAGAATGATCTTAAATGCTTGATTTTTCAAAAATGGGCACAATAGATTTATCTGCAAATCACATCCCTCATATACACATTCAGTGATTTTCAAATGTTGACAGTTGCCATTCTACCGTTTATTTAGGAAATCCACCCAAATGACCCTTACCTTGGTGGAAACTGTTCCACAGTGGGCTTCTTGTTATCTCAAGATGAATATTGGATAGACTATACTTGAGGTTTGTGTTTTTAGACACTTCACAGAAGCTAAGTATAAGTCTGGGATAGAATCTGAAGCCTCTAGATTCAGTCTTCAAGCAGTGGAGGAAAAACAGCTATCCAGCTTTGGAGTCCACAACACAAAAAGGACATTGAAGCACTGGAGTGTGTGAAGAGGAGGCCACAAAGATGATCAGGGGCTGGAGCAGCTCTGCTACAAAGACAGGCTGAGAGAGTTGGGGCTGTTCAGTCTGGAGAAGAGAAGGCTCTGAGGGGACCTTATAGCGACCTTCCAATACCTGAAAAGTGCCTATAAGAAATCTGGGAAGAGCTGTTCACTAGGGCAGGCAGTGGTAGGATGAGGGGTAATGGTTTTAAACTAGAAAAGGACAGATTTAGGTTGGATATGAGGAAAAAGCTCTTCCCCATGAGGTGGTAGATCAGTGGCACAGGTTGCCCAGAGAGGTGGTGCAGGCCCCATCCCTGGAGATATTCAAGGTCAGGCTTGATGGGGCTGTGAGCAACCTGATGTGGTGCCAATGTCCCTGCTGACTGCAGGGTTGGAGTGGATGAGCTTTAAAGGTCCCTTCCAACCCAACACATCCTGTGATTCTATGATCCTTACAAGGAAATTCATCTGAGCCTGCTGTGGATGAGGTGACCTCTGGAACTGCCTCTCTCCACTGGTTATGCAGTGAGGTTAAATGACTGAGTGAGGCTAACTTAACAGATGGCTAAAATGAGGCAACCTGATTTCCTTTTGACCCATTTTGTTTTAATCAAAAGCCTTACAACTGTTCTCTCAGGGTCGAGCACGAGTGCTTCTAGCGTGACTTTGGGCACAAACACGTTGATTAATACCATGCAAATTCTAATGCTTATCTGATGTGCCTGAGTGCAGCCAACCCAGGTTTCCTTTGTGGATAGATGAGACCTTGCGTGGAATGCATCACTCTCTGGACACAGCCAGCCAAGGACAGCTATGCTGGTGCTTTTCAGTCAAGTTAGGTGGGATGAACTTGAGCTCCAATGAAAAGTAACTCTTCTTAAAAGGAATTTTTTTTTTTTGCCAGTCAACTGAAGGGCAAATGTAACTGCAGAATTGCCTCACTTAAGCACATCAGCCACATAAAAGCTAAATGTGTTAGGGCTTGACATTTGAAAGAACAGAAAAAACGCAGGTGGTTTGAAATTGCTGTCTATATTATACTGCTCCTCCAGCTAACATCCGACATGTCTGCCTTTTGTGACTAGAAGTGCCTTATTGAATGCAGTTAACATGTATACCCATTTTGTGAGTATAATGTATTTATTTTTATGTCCAGATTTTAAGAGCAGGGATTAGAATATATATTTTTTCCCCATAGTTATCATGGATTCTGTTGCTGCTGATTTATGCTCTGTTTCTGTCACTAATTAGATTGCGGAGCTGCGTGAACTTGAACGTATTGCAGATCTGCCTCTCCTCAGAGTTTTAAATCTTTTAAAAAATCCTGTACAGGTAAGAAAGAACTAAAGAGGAAGCCAAAAATAAGGACCTAGAACTGCTTTTTAGATCACACCAGAATCCATTTAGCCTCAGTTGCTATCTCTGAGGGTGGCCAGGTCATTTCAGGGAATGAATACAAGAAATAATGAGTGATGGCTTCCTTGGCATGGTTACCCACCTTTGCCTGGGAACTTTGTCTGAACCAAAGCTGCATACGAATCATGATGTTTAATATCCATGTAGTCAATCCATGAATTTCATTAATGCTATTTGTGAATCCATTTATGCATTTGTACTCACAGTATGCCATGATTTTCGTTTGGGAAAAGACCCCATTTTTGTTTGCTTTGAAGGTCTGTACTCCTGGAAAAGCTTAAAGGAACTTAATAGTACCCCTTTCAAAATCATGTGTCTCTGAAGTCTCTATCTTCTTTTCTTCTATGGCACTTACTCAGTTCTCATTTATGGCTCCCATAATATTCCTCAATGAATGAATTAAACATCCATTTTACCAACAACGACATTTGCAAAACATCAGAAATTCTGACTTTGACTCTGCATTTGTAATTTTTCCTGTGTGATCGAAGATGATCCTATCCTGACTTTTGTGATTTCTAAGTTATGTCTGAATTTTACAGTGATTTCCAATGTCAGAGAGAAGAAAAATGTTAAAGGTTTAATCTCTCCTTTCTGTAATTGCCAGCTGAGTACTGATTTTTGTGAGAATGGTCTGTCATGGCACACCATGAAATTGGCATGAAAAAATACCCAGAATAGGGTGGTCCTCTGTAATCTAAATTCTGTTTAGGTGTCCTTCCCCTAAGCAAAGTCTGATCCTATTGCTTTTAATTACTGTTTTAATAACTTATAGATGCAACTCTCATCTCAAGACAACTGTCTGTATTTCAGTTGCTGTAACAAGGCCTTACTGGTTTTAGAACTAAGTTGTTTCATAAACATGTCAGTGTCAGCTGTTTAATTTGATTTTTAATGATTCTTTTTGATTTTTGTCTCAGACTTCAAACAATATATGATGAATTTATAATGCAAATTCTCTTTTAAAATTCCTACAGTACTACTAAGGTTAGAAGTATTAACCACAATTTATTACACAATCCCTGTATAGATAATACTTGTGGTTCTCCAACAGACTTTCTTGGTGTTCTAGTGGGTATGGTGGCGAGTTTTAAATTCCCATCGTGACCTTTTGAACAACTGTTAGCTTTTGTTGCAGAAACTAAGCTTATAATCAGGGGTATTCATATCTTTTGGGGTAAAAAAGCTTTTTATGTTGCAATGTATTAAGGTCTATTTAATTTCAATAGATTGAAATTAAATATTAAGTTGATGAATTTAAGTACTTTATGTCAAAGTGGAAACTTTGTCCTTCAGGAGCAAGCAGATTATTGGCTCTTGGTGATCTTCATGTTGCTTCAACTAACAGAACTGGATCTCAAGAAGATTTCAGTGGAAGAAAAGGTATGTAAACATCATAGAAATCTGGAGTTTTTCTAAATAAAAAATATAAAAAACTGCGCATGCAACTGTAGCTTTGTAGTCATTTGGGTGTGACAGATCTCCCATGTTTTATCCCCCAAGACTGGCTACACACTCAGAGACTTCTCCTTTTAAATCCAGATACGTGTCTACAGAATTTCTGGAGCAGTTGTGGTATGTAAAAATAGCTTTTAGGGAAGCTTTATTCAGTGAAGAAACTTACTTAGCAGCCATTGTCACTCAGCTAGGGAATCTGAACAAGCAACTACGGTCACAAAACACTCTGAAGTAGTAATCACTGTGCTACTTCTGAAATACCATTGTTGGGGTTTTTTACTGGTGAGTGCAGCAAAGTGAACTCTGAAAGTTATAATGATGCTTGTTTCCCGTTCTGCTCTGTAAAATCTTCTCCCAAAAAAATAACTGCTCAGTCTGCTTACAGTAACTTTCTATTGTAATAAAAACCTTTCCCTCGTGTGCTGCTTTTACTGTAATTTGGTTGCTGCTTGTAGTATTTGGGCCCAAGCCATGCTAGAGCTGTTAGGATTATCAACTGCCAATTGGGGTTGGATTTCAGGGAATTATCCTTTAAAAATGATCCTTACAAGAAATCCATCACTCCTAACTTCAGCTGCATAAATATAGATGTTGATCCTCTTTGTCTTATGTGCAATGTGTTTTCCTTCCAATAAAATTTTGCATACATTAAAGACATTTTTCTTTCTCTATGGGCTGCTAAAGTATGCCTGGATGACTGGTTTAGACCAGCACTTAACTTTTGAATGACTTAAGTTCTTTCAGAAAATCCTTTCCTTGTGTTATTGTAGGACATCTACTCTAGCCTCATAAATTCTGTTGTTAAACTGAATTTGGAGGCAGCAGCTCTTCTGTCTCGCTAACACACACAATGGATATACAGAAATGTTGTGGTTTAGATCAGAAGTGAAGCTCCCAGTTGCCCAACTTGCCACGCTTGATTCTCATTGTGGAAAAGTCTCACAACATATGAACTAGACCTCTTTAGGACTAACCTTCACCAGAAGATGTGCACCAGGCTGTACCCAACGTGCTTCTAGCTACTAAATTCACAACAAAGGACTGAATTAAAGCTAGAGTGGGCTCCCTTACCCCCAAAATAATGTGGATATTGGGTCACAAGTACTGAATATTTTGCTTTGAAGAAGCCATTCCTATTGCACCATACTATTTGCTATTACAGGCATGGCTGTCATCGGAGCTCACGGCGGTATTTTGTAGCAGTGTCAGCCAGTTGATATTTGATGTTTTACACGAAATGACTCAGTAGTTCTTAAACTGTTTTTGAGCGGGTAGCATTAACAATACCAAAAAATCCAATACTCATTAGTGGTCAGTACCCTCAATAGAGCTTTCAGCAGAATGGATGGAGGGAATTCTTGGAGTTTGAGTGCTGTTCCTCCCAGGAAAGGCAGAAATGCATTGTCAGGAGAAAATTGTAGTTTGCTTACTTTGTTAATGCCCATTCTGTTCCTTTTCTGATGAATAAATGAATGGCTTCAGTCCCTATGGATTTTGGTTCAGCATCTTCCACCAGCACTGAGAGAATGCAAATTAATGGATAATTAAAACCTAAGAAAAATTACTTTGCATCTTATGTGGCATCCTGTTTTCTTTCCAGTAAGAGGTTGAATATATTAAAGATGGCAAGCTATGTCTGGCTGCCTTTCATCCATCTATCAAATTGTGCTTAAACCTCCTGAAAAGATTTATGTAGCAGAGCGCTCACAGACAAGCCAAATAGAAAACTGACCCTCATAAATAGGAAGCCATCGTTATTCACAGTGAGTTGCACAGCATATTGCAGCTGGAAACAATTACATCACTGCTCTTCTTTCTTTTTGCCCCTAAACTGTTCCAACAGGTTGCTGCCGTGAATAAATACGATCCTCCTCCAGAAGTTGCTGCTGCTAGAGACCATATGACTCATGTCATGTATAGTGTCCTGCAACCCCAGAGAGTCTTTGACAGGTAAACCTACCTCCACTTCGCATCAGCTCCTGAGGGTGGCACTCAAGTAAAGCAGAATATGTTGTCATATTTAAAGGGACATTTTCCTATCTCTCTCTCACCTCTAAATTAAGCTAGCAAAGAGGAGAAGTTCCCATAGTAAGCTGGTAGCAGCCTGGAAATTAAGCAAATCTTATTTGGTTGAAATTGATTATGAGATGAAGTTCGTCGTTCACCTCTAAAGTCTGAGACAGATTGTCCACAGCTCCATTTCTTTTAAACAATCTGTTCTAACAGATGGCCGTTTGCACCATAAATGAAAGATGCAAAATTTCTCTCAATACCCAACGGCAATGTAAAAATCTCTAGAGGGAGAAGAGAGCTGTAAAACATAGCTTCTTCCTATTCTGCTTAGTCCATCTCTTCACACTATTGGCATCCCATGGTGAACAAAATGGGTTTATTTTGTGGCTTTAGGGCACATTTTATATTCATAAGGTGAAATTTTCAGGTTTGTACTTAGGGAAGTCCAGTCTTTGGGAGGAGATGATGCTACCTGCCACTTAAATCACGGAAGGGAGAGGCACATCCATGTTCTTTTTCCAACGTTGCCATTGCCAGGTGGCATCTCTCAGTCTCATTTTGCATCTGGAAAAGAGAAATAGCCATACTTTGCTGCTCTGAAGGTGTGATATTTATGAGTTTACTTGATGAATGCTTGGAAAATGCTATGACATTGGTGGAAAATACTATGAAATATATGTGGTTTCTTATTATATTGACTCCAATGGGCATTGAGATCAGCTTTTGTGCCCCACACCCTCTTTTAGCACTATTTTGGACATCTTAATTCATAATGAGTAACCTGATTTAAGATCCATGATTTAATAACTTAGAAATTTGTATTTTTAGAATTTCTTTCTTGTGACTCATGTGTTTTCTGGGATTGTCGATGAAAGACAGGAACCATCCCAGTGGTGATGATAGCTCTGAGAATTCATAACAGCCTATTGAAAAAAACCCTGAAGATTTATTTACTGTTTTGCAGAGTTGAAGGTTTCATTAAAAAAACCAAAACAAACCAAAACACAATAGTTTTACCTAAAGGCATGGATTTCTTCCAATGCAGACATAGGCTCTGTTTAAATATGTTTATTGGATTGTGCATGTGTGTCTTCATTGCTGGAAAGAAACAATCCTGCCTTCTGTCAGAGGTATTGTATACACAAACATATAAACATGCAGACCAGCATTTATGGTACTTACCAAAATTGTTAATGATGCTTTGAATGTTTGCCCATGCTCAGCTGGAAAGCACACAACACAGTCATTAATGAAATCCTCCTAATGATGATGCATCACAGTCTTCTACACTATAAAATGCTTATTGGAACCAGATTGGTGTAGTTCATTTGTATCTATATTTTTAGATAAGATTATCATTAATTCTGGTTTAGTAATATAATTAATTCTGATTTAGTAATATCTCTATTTAAAAGAAGACCACCCTGAAAACAAAGTAAAAAATTGCATTGTTGCATACTCTGCAGTCAGAAAACAGTAGCATTAAGTTTCTTTTGCCATTCCCTCTCTCTGTGTGATTCTGTCTTTAATTACATGGTAACACATCACTGAACAGTATTATGTGTATTTTTGCCCTACTGTAAGTGCCTGTGGCATTTAAAAAGGTAGCTTGGTCAGAGTTACAACTGCTATGTGGAAAGTAGAAATTTAATAACAGAGTGCTCTTCAGTCTGTTGGGCAAATACATGATGAGACTTGGTATCTGGCTATTGAGGATACATTCATTCAGAGAAGAAAAAGAGAGCATGATTATTTTTAACAATGAAGGTAATTAACCATTGGGATAATTTACCAAGGGTACCAAGAATTCTCCACAACTGGAATATTTATAATTAAATTTGATCTAATGGAACCCCAGGTATCAGGCTTGAAACAAGAACTAACTTGGGGAAATCCTGTTTTCAGCGTGATGAGGAGAGTCTGACTTTGAGGATCAGTGTAGTCCCTTTTGGCCTTCAAATCTATTAATCTTGCACAGCAGTGTATTACTGTACTCGCCAAAGATGAAGGAAGCTGAAAGATGAACTTTAAAGAAGCCAAGATCTCTTTACTAGATACTGCTTACAAGGTGTAGGAAAATAAAACGTTTCATTTATCTTTTGAGAACCGGTAAGTGGTGATGTAATGACAGGTAGGATTATGGAAATGTTCTCCATGTTCTTCTAATGAAATAATAAATACGAGGAATTTGAGCAATGGAAATTTATTTAAGGGCATTTGAATTCCGAGTATAACCATGTCAAGTTACGATGTATTGTGTCGGTACTGGATATAACACTTCCTTGTAAAAGAAAAGGTTACGGAGGAATTCTGCACTTTGCAGGCGTGTAGCAGGTTCTGTGCATGGAGAAGGACTATATTAAAACTGTGCCGAACATAAGGGTCTGTCTTCACAGATCTGCCTTGACATCATTATTCACGAAGGGCATGGCCTTGAGCAAGAACAAGAACCTTTCTCCTATGTCTTGATAAATTCGGGATTTCTAGCCACTAAGCATGTTTTGTGGAATTCTCATCTTTGAAATGGTTTATTTATAATATTTATAGTATAGCGTGGATCTGTAGTATCCACAACTGTCTCTCATACCTCCTGGGATCGTCTTGTCTTAAACTGGTCTTTTCCTTACCATAAATGTTGGAAGACCAAAAGACAGTCTGAACAGCTCAAATAATCAAAAGAGGAGGAAGATTTTTCTGGATTTGAACAGAATGTCACAACCTAACAGATTCAGATAAGGAATTTTAAAATGCATTTTTACCTTCTCCAGTATTTTTAATGTGTTGTGCTAATAAGCTTATTGTGCTAATGTTGTCTAATGTTTTGTAAATCTGCACACCAAGTAAAGTATCCTTAATTCTCCCAAGAGTTCTGCAACTGCCTTACTTTCAAATAGTTTAGTGGATGGAACACTAAGCCAGGATCTGGGTTCATTTCACGGTTTAGTAACAGCACATATGTACAGTCTCGAACCAGCCTTTTAATTTATTAGGTGTATCTGTTATTTCTTCTGTGAGAATCGTACTCCACAGGAGAATTAGGAGACTGAACCGCATTATCATCTTAGTGCTTCTGAAGCATTAAGTCCCATTATATACATATAATCTGGTAGAAAATAGAGCTGGTTTGCTGAACCTGAAAGAGGAGTAAAGCCATTACTTTGAGATATTTTTCCTCCATGCGTGTGTTGGATGGTTATCATCACTGCTTATGGAGTTAGTTACTTGTAAGAGAAAAGGTAAAAGAAATATACTCTGTTTTCAGGTATTTGTGTTCACCTGTCTTAAATCACATTAAATGGAAGCTTAATGCACATTGGTGGTTTTCTTCCACTTTAAATTTAGTTAAAGCTATTTAGTAGTTAAAAATGGGTGGGTTCGAAACTATTTCAACTATTTCTGACATTCTATCAAGTGGTGTAATCTTAAGATCTAGCTGAGATTTAAAATGGGAGTCCGAGGTTGCATTCCATTTTTAGCCTTCTAAATAAATTGTCGGACACTTAAAAGAGCAGGCATGCTATTCATTCTAGTATTTACAGCTGGGACTGGAAATCTGAGGATCCAACCATCTGCTCAGCGTGGAGAAAATGGAAGGTTTTGTATTTTCACAGCACTTTGGGTTCTTTTATTGTAGTGTTATTTGTGTTCAGTGGAGCTGAAGGATCTTAGTGGTTTTCATTGTGTTGAATTGAAGAGTTCTTTACAAATTTCCACCTTCATCTGGCAAGGCCATGGAAGTCAGCAAGATTACACGTAGGAGTGCGTAAAGGTTTGTAGGATTAAGTCCAGGTTCAAGCCAGGCTTATTATCCTGACCATTAAAATATTGCCATCTCTGCGATAGACTTGGAAAACTCTTAAACAAATCCCAGCAACACCGTAACTGCAGAAGGGAGCTTTAGAAAAGGCTGTAAATCAGAAAAGATTATAGCGGATATAACATTATTCCTTCTGCAAAAGAGACCCAGGGGTCTTTAATGCAGTATTTTGTGCTATTTTTATGTTTAAGAGCACATCAAACCGAGCACACGCTTCTCCCAATTTTTGTCTAAACTGTGAACAATGTAAGTAGTGTGATAGACAGATGAGATTAGTTGAAATGATGATAAAATCTCTGCAGAGGCTTTATATAAAGTTGCTGAAGACTTCATTTGTACATAATGTAATGACTCCTTGTTTTCCTTTCTTGCAGCACTTTACCTAGTCTTGATGCTCCCTACCCCATGCTGGTGTTAGTTGGCCCTCTGGCCTGTGGCAAGAGAGAGCTTACTCATAAGATCTGCAGACAGTTCAACGATTTCTTCAGATACAGGTAAGTTTGCTTCCTAAGTTTAAAAGAACACAAAGGGATCAAGGTATTGCTGCTGTTTTCTCTCTCTCTTTTTTTTAAGGAGGTTAAAAGATAAAGACAACCAATAAATGTTCATTGCTATGGATTTTATCTCTTCCTAGGGCTTGATTGCCTGAAGTCATCAAATATACTTTCTTAAAAAAAAAGGCTATTTAAATTATTGTGTTCTTTTCAAAGGTGAACAGCAAGCAAGCAAACAAAAATGTGCCATTTAATGCTCCTTTTATTGATCTGTTCTATCTATGCTCACTAATGCCCCTCAACCTAAGCATCTGTTGAGATATGTATGTGTTTCTCTTAATTTTTATGATGTACCTGCATGTAAACACATTAGCATGCATGTGCAGGCTGCATCCAACAGTTAGGAAAGGAAGCAAGTGCAGTCACTGGACCAGTTTATTATCCTGTGAGTAGTGTTATCAAAGCAAATGGCACCTTTCAGACTTCACCACCTGCCAAGAGGACTAATTCTCCCTTTCTGAAAGGTTTGAATTATGATCCTTAGTGCCTTGGGCTCCCTGTGTATTTAGTGGAGAGAAACTATCTCTTTCCAAGGGAGATTCAGCCTTTTTGAGTCGCTTCCCTGAGGTACCTACCTATTTTCAGTGCACGGGAGATAGAAGGCCTGGCTAAGTTAGATCACCACTATCTGATGCCTAAAATTAGATGGTGCAAGCTGTTTCTCTTATCCATCCATTCCGTTCTTCACAGTACCTAAGTTTCATAAGTCCTATGGCACACACTATCCTGTATATTGTTTCTCCTCTATTTTCTCCTTTGTTTTATTACGTGAATTTATCCATTCATTTTTAACCAGACTTTGGCCATAGTTTCACACGTATAGCTTTTACCACAATAGGACCTGGGACAGGCTCAAGAGTTGGGCAGAAAGAAACTTAATGAAGTTCAACAAGGGCAAATGTAGGGTGCTTCATTGGGGAAGAACAACCCCATGGATCAGTACAGGATGGGGCTTGACCTGCTGGAGAGCAGCTCAGGGGAAAAAAGACCTGGGGGTCCTGATGGACAGCAGCTGACCATGAGCCAGCAATGTGCCCTCTTGGCCAAGAAGGCCAATGGCATCCTGGAGGGCATTAAGAAGAGTGTGGCCAGTAGGTCCAGGGAAGTTCTCCTCCCTCTCTACTCTGCCCTGGTGAGGCCACATCTGCAATACTGCGTCCAATTCTGGGCTCCCCAGTTCAAGAAGGACAAGGAGCTACTGGAGAGAGTCCAGTGTAGAGCCACTGAGATGATGAGGGGACAGGAGCATCTCCCATAGGAGAAAAGGCTGAGAGAACTGGGGCTGATGAGCCTGGAGAAGAGACTGAGGGGGGATCTCATTAATGCTTATAAATATCTCAAGGACGAGTGTCAGGAGCACGGGACCAGACTCTTTTCAGTTGTGGCCAGCAACAGGACAAGGGACAATGGTCACAAACTGGAACACAGGAAGTTTAACCTAAACATAAGAAAAAACTTCTTTACTGTGAGGGTACCAGAGCACTGGACCAGGCTGCCCAGAAAGGTTGTGGAGTCTCCTTCTCTGGAAACATTCAAAACCCGCCTGGACGTGTTCCTGGGTGACCCTGGGGAGTTGAACTGGGTGATCTTCAGAGGTCCCTTCCAACCCCTACCAGTTTGTGATTCTGTGACACTGGTGCACTTTTAGGTACTGAAATGGTGTAAGAAAGGGACCCCAAGCACATGCAGATGTAAGAATAACTCCTCAGAGTTCTTAGCATCTCAGGACCATGCTCTGCGTGTCGATGTGAAGTGTAGTAGTAGCCTTCTCTAATGTACTACACCATGGTGAAGGAGCTCACATATGTTTCTGTCTGCTCTGTACTCAGATTATAGCCACTTGCTGCATTAGATCATTAAACTGGCAAGTTGAAAGGACATTTTAAGAAAAGATTCGTGCAAGCTGTGTGGCTGGAAAAATGATATTTTTGCCTTTCTTTAAAGCAACTGCTCTGTTTTGAAATACTAGATTGGAAATTACAAACTAATTGGATACCAATTGAAATTTTCCAAGCACTATGTGGTTTTTTTAAGAGCATTGTTTTTATGCTTTGTATTTTATTTCCTGAAAGTTTTATACGTGAGGGGGAAAAAAAAAAGGGAGAGAGACAGAATCTTAACAGAGCAGAAAATTGCAACCATAAAGCAAAGTTGTATTTTAATTATTCAGTGGAGATTTAAGCAATTTTATGGCTTACACTTTTAAATTTCAAACATTCCACTCATTAAAAATGTATTTCATGCAAGATACCCTGGCAGTTGGAATGTAAACATGGCCTTGCAATTAAAAAAGGTTGTAATGTTTAAAAGTGTTTCAAAAAATAAAGTGAAATTGGACCCTCAAACCATCTGGCTGGTGCTCAGGAATGACCTTTAAAGCTGGATGCGTTCATAATATCTTAAAGAAAATCAGGTCTTTGAAGTGAAATTTGACAGAGTTCATGTGTAGCACACTGTTCCCATTCGCCACAGCTTGCTGATTAAAAAAAAGTGGTGCCCTCTAATGCCGTGATAGTTTAGATCTCTCAAATTCTGCATTATAGACTGAATTCTTAATGGCTTCTAACTCAGCTACCTTGAATACATGAACAGAAATGGCCTGGTAGAAGGTATACTCATATATTTTGCCTTATTTCCAGGACAATCCTGCAGAAGTCAGAGTTAAAATGTTGGTGGGAATCAATGCCAAAGGTCCATATTACACTTGTGTGCTTGTTATCCTACAATGTAAAAATTAAAACCAAGACCAAAGCATAAACAAGTAGCAAATAGAATTACCTAATATGTCACTCTAAAATTGTTAGATACATTGACTTCACTGCATTTTTGGGGCGTTTTGAGTTTGTTTATTTTTAGTGTTTCTTTCTGGTCGTAAGCTCACATATCTGAGGTTTATGCAATTGTCCTTATGTGATGGCAGGCAATTACTTCTCCTGCCTTGTATCCCGCTTATCTCCCTAGTTTCAGGATTGTTTCTCCTCTTACTATTAGGGGCCTATTTAAAGATTGGTCTTTATATCTCTTTCTTAACCTCACAGTTCAGCCTATCTCCTAGTCTCCGTTTTCATATTTAGGATTCTACTTTATATCATCCACAAGCTGACATAACTGGGAAAAAAATGGTTTCATCATTTCTCTATTGCAGGGCGCTGTGACAGCTTCAGTTCAGCCTACCCTGGCTTGGGTGGGGATTTATAGCCAAAATGTAATGTTACATTTAAACTTTTTTTTTTGTATTTATGGGTTAATCTTTCAAATATGCGGCATTAGTGGTATGATTTGCACCTCTTTATATTTCTCGTATTTCTTCTCTTCTTAAAAATAAAATGATTTGTAGTATTCCCCTTTTCCCCCCCTCATATTCCATAGCTGCTTCTATGATTGAAAACAGGTTATTTCTTTATTATACCATATATCTTCCAGTCCCTGCCACACTACCAGGGCAGCTTACTTTGGCGAAGAAAACAGACTTGATTACTATTTCATTTCTCAAGAAGCATTTGACCAAATGGTGAACACAGTAAGTACCTAACTAGTATCCTAGTAGGCCTATTTCCTACAGCCAGAGTGAATTCAGCTTTTCTGTTCAGATTTGCTAGCTTTGGGGTTTTGGTTTTGGGAGTTTTTGGGCTTTTTTGTTTGATTGTTTGGAGCTCTTTATATTCCATTGGTGTCTGTGTGTGCATGCTTATTCACTCACAGTTATGTGGCTTAAGTTCATACACAAAAAGCAAAATTTTTTTGTATATTTATGCTGTCTTTTCTTCTATATGCATATTTTTTCCCATTTTTTCAAAATCTTCCAGCAACCCTGCAGGGAATGCAGTCTTTTAAAGTCTAGCAAATTCACCCTAAAGGCATCATGTTTTTCTCTGAAGGCAGTGTGCCTCCAGCTACTGTTTCTGATGCCTTTTGCTGCCTGCAATAAAACTTCGGCTTGAAAAGCCACAACAGAGCTCATTATTTGTACATATGCAGACAAGGGGAGCCAACAGAGTCTTAAGCAACTGATATGGTCTAATGATAACTCAGTAATCAAGTAGTTTAATTTTAAAAGAATATAATCTGCCTACATCTTTCCAGAGGTACTACTGGGAACCAAAGTTTCAGTTGTCAGGTTTTAGCTTTGAAATTTCTTAGCCAATTATGCATTCTCCTTGCAGATTTGCTTCTGTCCTCTCTTTCCTATGGCATCTTCTCTTTTATATGGCGTGGCCATACGGTTTGATGTAATGTCAAAAAGAAAAAAAGAATGCCCCTTGCTTTAGATCTGGCTTTCTTTACAGTACAAATGAATAAACAATGAAAGCTGTAACATGTCAGCAGCTTGTTGTCAAGACACTGGTGTTTTATTATCCATGAACAACGTTGGAGCCCGTACCCTGCAGGACTGGCTCTGTGCTCCTCTCTGCAAATTTTGTGCTCCCATTGGCGTCATTGTCATCGATGATTTAGGCAGGGAGAAACTTTGTAGGGAGAGCAAGCAAAGAAGTCCAGAGTGATTATGCTCCTTTAAGAAAGTTGTTTCCCTTAAAATATTTCCTTCATCATCATACTTGCTGGTTTGAATTTCAGGGGAAGTTCATAGCGACCTATAAATACAATGGCTATTGCTATGGACTTGGAAAAGACACCGTTGAATCGATTGCCAGAGAGGGTCTTGCAACCTGTGTTCACTTGGAAATAGAGGTAAGGATTACTTCTTGCCTGACCATTTTTAATGAGTCATTCTGGGAAAGCTGTCCTGGGGAGGAATTAATGGAGTTTGACCAAGTCTCTGTCTAGGCAGCTGAAACAAACCTATTAGTGACGCAAGAGACATCACATGGCCTTCTGCCCAGCCTACAGCTGATAATACATCTGAAAACAAGTTGTGTGGGCTGCATTAAAGTCACTGGATATAGAGTTGTTCAGTCAGATGAACTGCATGCTCCACTGTCTGTATCAAGCTTGAGAGCAGTCCCAAGGAGAAGGAGTTGGGGGTGTCAGTCACGTCAGTCAAAAACTCAACATGAGCCGACAATTCTGAACATGAGGAAAAACTTTTTTACTGTGAGGGTGCCAGAGCATGGCCCAGGCTGCCCAGAGAGGTTGTGGAGTCTCCTTCTCTGCAGACATTCAAGACTCACCTGGACATGTTCCTGTGTGACTTGGTCTGGGTGATCCTGCTCTGGCAGGGGTTGGACTGGATGAGCTTTTGAGGTCCCTTCCAACTCCTCATATTCTGTGATTCTGTGAATGTGTGCTTGCAGCTCAGAAGGCCAATGGCATCCTGGGTTGCATCAAAAGCAGTGTGGCCCGCAAGACCAGGGAGGGGATTCTGCCTCTCTGCTCTGCTCTTGTGAGATCCTACCTGCAGTGCTGCATCCAGCTTTGGAGTCTCCAAAACAAGAAGGCCATCAAGCTGTTGGAGCGAGTCCAGAGGAGGCCACAAAGATGCTCAGGGGCTGGAGCACCTCCTCTATGAGGACCGACTGAGTGAGTTGGGATTGTTGAGGCTGGAGAAGAGAAGGCTCTGAGGGGACCTTATTGCAGTCCTCCAGTTCCTGAAGGGGTCCTACAGGAAAGATGGGGAGGGACTTTTTACAAAGGCAGGGAGTGATAGAATGAGGAAGAATGGTTTCAAAGTGGAAGAGGGGAGATTTAGACTGGATATTAGGAAGAAATTCTTGACTGTGAGGGTGGTGAGGCCCTGGCCCAGGTTGCCCAGAGAAGCTGTGGGTGCCCCCTCCCTGGCAGTGCCCAAGGCCAGGTTGGACGGGGCTTGGAGCAGCCTGGGCTGGTGGAGGTGTCCCTGCCCATGGGGGTTGGACTGGGGAGGCTTTAAGGTCCCTTCCAACCCAAACCATTCTGTGATTCTATGATAGGCAGCTCTCCATTCATTGTACGTAAACCACACCTGACATTCCCTTTATGGACAACCACATTTAGTCAGACGGATCCTGCTGCTAGCTTCTTAAAACTTCCTGACTGAATTTTTGATCTTCAGTAACCTCATCTCTTTGCTGTATCTATACCTCAGCTTTTCACCCGCGTGCTTTCCCCTCATCTGAAGCTTCCAGTGGGATGAGGCTAGAGCTGCACACCTAGTGGTCACCCATAAAAGAATGCAACGTTTCTCCTTTGCTAATGAAACAATGTAGGAAGTATGCAGGCCTGAGGCAACATTTTGGTCAGAACTATTAAAAAATGCAATTTCTTTGAGGTTTTGCTTTACCCTCTCTGAGATCTGTCAGGTACACAAGCACAGATGGCAGAATCTCAGAAGTCGTGCTGTGTTAAGAAACTAGGACACAAATAAAGTGTCAAAACCTATCTGGTGGCATCCCAAAAGAATAACTTCTTATCTAATTTTCTAATTTTGTACTTCTCATTATCTTTTATCAAGATTTACCAGCTAGGGGTTGAGGTGACAAAAAGGAAAGGCATGCTACATTTCCTTCCAGATTCTCTCTACAAAATAAGCTCCATCTAGACGAGCTTCCAAAATGAGAGACTACAGAGTGGCTAGGGTGTGACATTGGGTGTCGCTGGGTTTCACTGTGTTTGTAGGGCTCAGCTCTACCTCTGGGGGATTACTACAAGTTCACAGACACTATGGTACTCCATGATAGATGGAAAAAAATAATAGAGATAAAAAAGAAATGTAGGAGACTGCAGTGCTAGGATCCTATGTCGTGCATCCAGAGTTAGGGAAATGACTAGGGAGACGAGCAAAAATTCATGCTAGATTTAATTAGATTTAGAAGGACAATTTTATGAAACTGATGATCAAAAAACTAGTTTTCAGGTAAGAACCTTAGTGTTCATAAGGAGTTTTAGTCCCCTTTGGCCCAAATAAATCTGTACACGTTTACTGACTTGCATATAAATGCACAAGTAACAGAATAGCAGCATGTCATTAAAAAATTAGTAGCTTCTTGCTCAAATGGTCCACAATTTAATGCTGCAATCCTGTTCTTAAGTGCCTGTTATGTGACTGATATTAAACAGCGAGTTAATAACTTAATCCCTGTGTAGTTCCATTTCTTTTTTTTCCTCAGTCTTGTCAGATCTGTGAATCACCCTCAGTCTCCACTGATTGCAATAGGCATTGAGTGTGTTTGTTGTCTTGCCAGACAGACCCTAAATTTACACGGGAAGAAAAATAGGAATAGATTAAATATGATGGAATAGGGTGCCTTTTAAAGCTGTCAATACTTCACAAAGTAGATGTGTTATCAAATAATTTAGGAGAAAGAACTTAATGGGATGTCATGTTTATTCATAAGGAGGTTAACCCAGCAACATAGGCAGTGACCGTAACTTTCACTGGGTATTGCTGAAGCTACAGACATGGACAGACAGCTGAGGAACTCCTTTGTCACTGAAGTTTCAAGATCACGTAGTAATTATGCATAGTCTGGTATCACTGTGGACTCTGCTAGCAGATGAGAAACAATAATGGTGAGTTATGTATCTGAATAGAAGTTATCCAAGTCCATTATCTTCTGCAAGACTCATAACAAAGGTGATTTAGCACTATTAAAAGAAATTTTAATTATGATCTGTGGGCTGAGACTAAAAATTTAGAGCTGTTCATTCCCTTTAATCTAGAGTATATCTTTCTCTGATAAAGGAGACTACCACCAATTTTAGAAGTTAAATCGCGCTGAGTCTACACTTCCAGTTAGTGAAGTTGCTGCAATTCTGATGCGTGATTATGTGAGTAAGCACGTTGATAAAGCTTTCTCTTTGATCTTGTAGCCACCAATACCTGCAGAGCAATTGAAGAAGCTGCACATTCCAACCAAGGTTGTAGAGGCAAAGTGGCTAAAGTGTCTCATCTTGCTTCCAGAAATATAAGTGTACCTTGACTCCTGCAAAAGACCGCTCCCTATTGCACTTGTTGCTGGTTATTTAGTCATTCAGGCTAGGAAGCCAAAGGAAGTCAGATACAATACTAGTCACATATTTTCTATAACCCCATGCTGTTAACTGAAGAAACTGAAGTGCCTTAGCTATGTTAAATGAATGGACATCTTCAACCCAGGTAGTCCTTTGATCTTTCTTGACCTCATACGGAAATTCAGGAAGCTCAAATTTTGCTCCTTTTTTATTTTCCAAATACCTCTTTGGTTTCGAAGTGTCAACTTCTGTATTCTCCCATTCTTTATTTTAAGGTCACTTTCCTTATACTCTCTTTATTTCATATTAGACAGTCACTCATCCTATTGTCTCTGTACAACAGATTTATTGGGCACACCAGAAGCTTTCTGTAACTCTTTCCTTCTCCTCGCTCAACTCATACTATTGATGGGCCAGAAATCATTTGTTCGTGGTGAAACTTCAGATGAGGAAGGTGTAACTAGGCTGGAAGGTAGATCTGCTTTCTGCTGGTCTGATCTCTGGATAACTACAGGCATAGGTGAAAATAGGTGATTATATAGCTGGATGCAAAAAGTTCTGTGCCTCAAATTCTCCCCTTGAGCTTTCACCAAAATAAGTAGGATTTTCCCCAGAACCACTCCCTGAAATTTTTAGAATGGATCAAAAGTAGTGTTCCATACTTATAATGCTGCAACCAGGGAAAAAAACAGACTAGCAGGTGTTCCACTTGTTATTGGGTTTTATATGATTTTGCTTGTATTTGACTGTATTCTAGAATTATCTGGAGAATCCCAGCTTTAAGGATGTGAGGATTAGTTCTGATAAGTAGTGAACGGTGCTCAGATTTGACATATTTGTCCCTCTCTGTTCCTACCCACTTTAGTGACAAGGTAAATTGTGCCTCAAGGAAAGTGAAGTAAGCTTCTCTACATTTACTCTGGTGCAATAATGTGCATGGCGTCCTGTAACATTGGATGATTTGTTCATCACCACCCACTACAATGGTTGTTGGTTTGGTTTTGTTGGGTTTTTTCCCACACTGATCATCAAACACCCAAAATGATAGTTTATATATATATGATCATATATGCGGAAGTAAAGCCAAGAATTTATTGTTAGCATGATGGAAATTTTAACTGTAATTTAAGAATCATCATTAGTCTAATTATTACAGAAATAGCAAGAATAATAACACATTATATACTGAAAAAATCCCCATAATTATAATACAATTAGAATTGTAACACATGCTTCTTTGTTTCTCTCTGTTTTACTGGTGGTATGATCAACCTTTCACCACTCCTTTGAGTTCTAAGTCAATGGTTTCCCTCTGGTGTTGTCATTGAGAGGGGATATTACGAGTTGTCAACATCTGAGTCCTTTGCTGGGAGGATATTTATGTTGATAGTTTCTACTTTCTCCTCCTGGGATCCTCCTGGGGTCATTTCGTAAAATCAGAGAACGGATTTGGTTTGGATTGGAAAGGACCTTAAAGTTCATCCAGACCAACCTACAAGAAAGCCGGAGAGGGACATTTTGCAAGGACATGTAGAAATAGGATGAGGGGTAATGGTTTCAAACTAAAAGAAGGGAGATTTAGATTAGACGTTAGGAAGAAATTTTTTACTCTGAGAGTAGTGAGGCCCTGGCTCAGGTTGCCCAAAGGAGCTGTGGATGCCCCCTCCCTGGCAGTGCCCAAGGCCAGGTTGGACAGGGCTTGGAGCAGCCTGGGCTGGTGGAGGTGTCCCTGGCCATAGGGGTTGGACTGGGGGAGCTTTAAGGTCCCTTCCAACCCAAACCATTCTATACCAGCTTAGGAGAAACTATCAATTTGTTCGTAGTGGAAAGGTAAGTAATGCAGTAAGTTGTGCTGTGTGTCAGTACAGTAGTGTGAGTCAGTGATACGCGCATCTAGAATTACTAGGTCCTGATGGAGTAGAAAGGATGGAAAATAAGGAAAAGCCATTAACTGGTGGGTATGAGAAGTATGACACTAAATCATTGTGGAATTTGACTAAAAGGATTCTTTCCAAAGTATGTTTAGAATAATGTTAAACTACTCCTACAGTGCTTTCCACAGGTGGTCTTATAGCACTTCACCTTGAACTTGCCTATTTTGTGAAGTTGAATGCTAGATCTTAAGAGCTGTAGATTCAGGTTTCCAGTACTGGTTTCGCAGTAATTTGTGATAAACACAGAGTTGTCTTAAACTCACCTGCAAGTTCAACAAGTACTGAGTTTCAGGAGCAAAACGTTGCATTTCTCTGCTTAACTTTAAAGGGTGTGCGTAGCTTGAAAAAGACCTACTTTAAACCCAGATACATCCTGTTAGTACCAATGAACAAGCCAAACTATGAGGGACATCTGCGGAGGACAGGATTATTCAGCAGGCCAGAGATTGAAGAGGCAGTCTCCAGAGTGGACATGTACATCAAAATAAACGAGGATTTTCCAGGATTCTTTGATGCAGTAGTCAACACAGGTAAGTTAATCTCTTTCATACTATAAATCTGACTTCTAATGTCAGAGCAATAGATGGACTGAAACTGCTATGCAAACAAAGCCTCTGGCAAATATTAAACTAAGGATGACAAATGGTTTCATGCTAAGCATAACAGTTTAAATTACCCCTTAATTGATATTCCCAGTTAATTCTTGTCCCAGGAATCCGAAAGCTCTGGAGATCTGTCAGGACTGAATTACTCTGCTATGGCCAAGTTGTGCTTTTAGCCCATCTAGAAACCAAACCAACTGTTGGACTCAGCAGCACATTTATTAAGTATTGTCTCCTGTGAGAATATTCAAATGTGCCTAATTGCTTGGTGGTTTCTGGGCAGAGTTCAGAGGTGCTTTTGATCTCACAGACCTGATTATCTCTGGGCATGATAAGGTTTTGTTTTCCAAGTGCTGAAAAGCAGCTGATGTGCAGTCTGGGAACATCTCACCATAAAGAAGAGGCTGCTGCAAAGCTTTGCCTTGCAGGCCTCTTCTGCTCAGTAACTTGCTCAAGTCTCCCAGCCTCAAACAAGGAATGCGAGGATGGTAGATATTTAATTAAAAGATATGTTTTCTTCTTGATATTTAGGAATTTAGTATATCAAGTGGTAGAGAAGAATCCTTTTCTAGTTCATTCCATGTCTGCCCTTTTGTGGAGGTGATTTTTGCGGTTCACAGTGATGGTGAAATGTATCACTGTGATTTGAAATATTGTAATTTGTAGTTATTGTCAAGGACATATGGAGCTTACAATTTAAATATAGCATTAAAAAAATAAAACACAGTAAACCAAGTTGCAGAAGGAGAATATTAGGTGAGTGCAGAAATTGAGATGAATTTCAGATTATTTTCTTGACTGCTATTTATGAAGATGAAGATTTTTCTCTTGAAGAGATGAGCTGGATAAGTTAAGACTGCATTTCTGTGTCCAACTTCTGTGATTTGTAACTTTGTACTGATGAAAGCTTGGTTGTTTGGGTTTTTTTTCATTATATGTCCTTTCTCTCCACCATGAAATGCATATCCCTTTCTGCAGATGAATTGGATGAGGCATTCACGGAGCTGTGTTTTCTTGTAAAGACATACCTGGGTTTGGAGCCACCTTCAGTTTTTGATAGCATTCAGGACTTGAATAGCAGAGCAGAAGCAGGTACAGTGTCTGGGCACATGCTACTACGGTTTTTACCAGTAGAATATTCCTACTTATTTGTTACAAGAGTTGAAATCTGTGAATGATGCAACCTGTGAGACTGCTTGTTTCTGAAACCTCCACATTCTTTTCTATAATGGGTCTCCTGGGCCGATTCCTCCCTGGGATCTGACTCTTTGATGGAGATCTTTCCAGGTATTTTACATCACTTTGTGCCCTGAGACAGTAATATGCAATAAAAAGTGAGTTCCTGACTCTTCTGAGGATGCTTTTGGGCTGACGATCTCCCATTCGTTCCAGATGAATCACAAGCAAGATATGCGTCTGTGTCTGAAATCTTTGTGCCTATCAAACTGTTGAGAACTGAGAAAATGGCATGGCACTGAGACTTCACTTTGCTCTAGGACTTTACCTCTAGGATTGCCAGAAGTATGAAGAGGGAAAAAGGGAAAAGGAGTCTTAGTCTGGAGAAAAGGAGACTGAGGGGAGTTCTAATCGCCCTCTACAACTCCCTGAAAGGAGGGGATAGCGTGGTGGGGATCGGTCTCTTCCCCCTTGTAGCTAGTGGTTGGACAAGAGGAAATGGCCTTCAGTTGTGCCAGGGCAGGTTTAGGTTGGATACAAGGAGGGATTTCTTTACTGAAAGGGTTGTCAAGCACTGGAAGGGGCTGCCCAGGGAGGTGGTGGAGTCCCCATCCCTGGAGGTGTTTAGAAGATGAGGAGATGGCGTACTTAGGGACATGGTCTAGTGGTGGACTTAGGGCTGGTTCAATGGTTGGACTTGATGATCTTAGAGGTCTTTTCCAACCAAAACCTTTGTATGATTCTACCATTCTATGAAAACTAGGACAGTAAGATAAATGAAGTCAACTTAAAAATTCACTGTAAGTACTTTTGGGACTACCCACTGCAGGGTTAACCCAAATGAGCGGCAGTGTGTTTAAGAGGAGCCTTTTAGCTCTTAAATGACTGAGGCTGGACCGTCATGGTCACTTCCAGCTAATCCAAATGCATGCTTCTGCAAAAAGTGGTCATGCCAAACTCTCTTACCTATGCACTTCTAGTGTGCTCCTTGCTCTCTGATTGTGCAGCCATGTATAATCTGAATCAGGGAATGGTTCGATCCAAAAACTAAACTAGGAAAAAAAACCCAACCCAACTTTCAGACAGATCTATTCCTTGATAGACTCCTCATGCAGCTACAGAATTGGGACAAGAAGGGAAGGGTGTGGGAGAAGAGCTTCATGGTGGCCTGTGGAGGAAGGAAAGAGGACAACTCTTCTCAGAGGCAGCATAACTAAGATGAGCTTTAACTTATTGTGAGAGCTCAGCTGTAACCCTTGAATTTATTCCAGACAGGGCAGGTTACCAGCTGGGATGAAAGCAGAATATGATATTTAAAATACTGGAGAAAAAGAAATAAAAAACAGACATTATGGTAGCAAGATACTGCACAACATGGACTAACAAGAAGCTCATTTATGTGAACTCTTTCCTCTAACTCCAAGAGCCTCCATGGTTTATGACTGTCTTGGTTAGATGCATTACAACAGGAAGGTTAATGAGTTTCCTAAGCAACACAAAGCCAATATTCATGACCTTCTGTGTGGCTCAGGAGGCTGCAAATAAAAGTAGCTGAAAGGAGGGCAAAAATGTCTGAAAATGTTAATGAAGGATGGTGTAAAATTCATCAGTTCATCATTTCAAGTAATTTTGTATCCTGGAAGAATTAATAAATAGTAATTTCCCAGGGGACAAGAAAAAAGTCTTATTCACATATTGTGGCATCTCAGTGCTACAGCAGTGAGAACTTTTTTGAATAAACTTATTTAGTCTTAAACCATGTAGATTTTATTTTCATTTCCAGAGCTTCCGTGTTTGTTTGAAGTGAGAGAGAAGACTTCCTTGCCTTATTTACTATAATATTATTATTTACGTGTCTT